GAAACAAACTAAATGTTAGAGTCCCTGCATATGCTGGGCTGAGTTTTAACAAGACACTAGCTGCCTCTCAGCAAATGTGTACTAGTGACCTGGAATTTAACAGTTATCTGTGTCCCACTACAGCTGCTAAAGCCAAATAAAGCTGCACACCATTTACACAGTAGATTGTTGCCAACTGAATTTCTGCTTTAACTTCAGCATATGACCATTTCGTGGCGCTTGACATACACCCCTCCTTCACCCTCGTTTCATTTTTACGTAGTTAGAAGGGGGAACCAGGTCTGTCTTTCCTGTTCTGATTAAAAGTTGCATGGACGTTAGGGGAATTAAAATGGTAACAAAATGGCCAATACTCTGGTGGGCTGAAAGTATTTCTTGAGCAGCAGCCAAGTGCTGGCCTTTTCAGTCCACGTGAAGGAGCCAGGTACCTGCCATTACCTTCTTTAGCAAGTTTCCCTAAGTGTTTCTCCAGGCTGGTAATGTGGTGCTTCTCCAGGTAGTTACAGAACTGGAATAAAGTCACTGGTTCTGTTTGGAGGTACGGAGAGGGCAGCAACCCATCGCAGGTGACAATCTGCTCCAGCAAACTCTGCAACACTGGGGGTAACACAAAAACAACAGGAAARAAAAAAGAAAGAGTGGTTAACTACAAGACGCCTTAAAACAAGTACACAAGAGTTTTAGTTTATTTTTAAACTATGCAAAGAAATCATTCAGCCTTGCAGGATGATAATCCAAAGTGGTCCTAGGTTCAAGGAATGGACTGGTACCTGCTTCTAATTGCCCGGGATATCTTTCCTTCACTTTGAGCGTCAGCAAGTACTTCAGGGCATGACGGAACCTCTCTACTGAAGCACACAGGACGCTGCCAGGCTCTGCAATGTCACTCCAGATTTTCAGAAAATGCTTTTTCTTTTTAGTCTTCTGAATTACTGAAAATAAACAAAAAATGTCCTATGAAGTCAGTGAGACTAAGTGCATTTTGAAATTTATAGGAGAAACTAGGTGCCAGAGCGCCTATCTGGAGCTGTGTCAGCACAGTTTGCATTTGCAGTATGGAGCTGACTTGGTTCAAAGCTGRAGGGTCCTGCCAGTAGTTGAGCATCTTGCAAGCACCCATTTCAGCAAGCTGAAGCYGAGTCCTCAACTGTCAGTAACGACACCCGAGCAAGATGCCTGGCAGACGACGTGGCCCCCCAATTCATGATTCGTTTCTCCCCCAGCATCTGAGTGAAGAGGCACTTTCCTGTTCACTTTAGCTGTTCCCACTTCTACCAGTGAGATGTGTCACTGTGGAGCATTTGGAGATCTTGTTTATGTAGCCTCAGGAGAGCAGAAGTGAGTCCCAGTGAACAGGCTGAGGAATGTCTCYTTCTGAAGGACCTTTGAAGAACACTTGGAGTACGCTCTGTGGTTAAACCCTGTCATTTCTTGCTCTTACCTGTAYAGATATTAAACTTGTATTCTGCATTTCAGACTCGTACACTTTCCTCCTCATATTACCCCAAAGAATCTTCCTTGCCTTAGGAGACAATTTATTCTCAGGTCTTTCAGCATACAAGTTGTGTCAGCAAGAGCTTCCTACTAGAATCTGCATTCCTRCCAGTCTCTGTTACCGAGATGAGAACAAATAACTCCACGTCTTTGGTAGCACCTTTATGCTTTTTGTGATCTCCAACAATCAATGCAACAAGGTAGCAGGGAAAGGGCCGAGATGGGAGAATGCACATGCCAGCTCTTCGTGCAAAGGTGTACAGAGGCTGGGCTCTTGGCTCACGTAGAAGAATAAATGTAGAAGAGGATTTAAGGATCTAAGACACCCTGCTCCAGCTATTTTTTTCTTTGAGCAAAACTTCAAACCTTTTCTTTCTTTGAAGTGTTAAAAAAAAAATACATACAAATTACAATATATATTAGCCTTGGGTTTTTTTTCCAGCAGCTTACAGTTTTTCTGCAAGATCTATGTTAATAACATGAGTATCCACAAGGCGTTCAGAATGAAACCTCGATGTGTAGCAGTGTTGTCTGGCCCTCCCACCCCTCGGCACCCCTTGGCATGATGCAGTTACTCACTCTCTTCCACAGACCCCTCCGAGACTTCCCCCAGGACTTGTGTCTGCTGTGACACTTCTTCCAAAAGCTTCTCCCGGACAATCTGGGCTACGCTGGGCGACCTCAGCTTCTGAAACACAACATGATCTTCTCAGTAGCTGAAACAAAGGCAGTTACCAAGCTCAAGATGACAAAGGCTGCACAATTTCTTAGAATCTAACTTCTAGAATCAGTGGGAAAAGACCAGGTTCTCTCAAAAAGTTCCTTTCCCATCACATCACRGACCAATCACTCCCGAACACAAAGCAGCTCAGCGCAACAGGATGAGCAGGACTCATCCGTGTGCACTGTGGGTTCCTCTTTCTAGTGGCAGCAGTTTTTCACAGCAAGTGGAGTTCATCACCTGCTAYCTATAACTCAACCCAAATCTGTCCTACTTCATCTGCAGCCTGCTCAGCATTCCCTTGGGCACAGAGTTTTTATCTCCTGCTTCTCCTAAACCGAGAGGCCAAARGGAGCAGAGAGCCTTTTCTCCAGTGTTGGCACGATGGCTTGTGGGCAGGGTGCCACAGCACACTGCTGGGACCTAACGTCTGTTCCGAGTCTCTCAGCTTTTGTAGGAGAGCCGGCTACAACTTCATGCTTGTTCAGAATTATAATCATCAGTCCACAATACGAGTACACAGGCTACTCCTTACTTGCAGAAGGGATTTGCACAGCTTTAGATGGGTTATCAGAAGTGCGTCTAGGCTGTCATCACCAGTGGTCACATCTCTTGCTTCTGTCTTAATGTCACTGCTGAGGGAGTGCAACGTGTTGTCATTGTATGTGCTGTATAAAGCAGAAGGGAAATAAAAAGAACTGAAGTGTTGCCCCAGCACAGTGATGTAGGAAAATCTCATGAAAACTGAGAGAGATTTTATGTAAAATTCCTAGGTACRTTTAGCCTCTAAAATCTGACATTTTTACTAAATTAGTATGAATTCATGCACTCTCACTGGTAGCCTTCAACCAGGCTGCAAAGGTACAAACAGATGGCACTTAGCACATAGCTGGCGCTATTAAGATGGCTCTTAACAGCATTTTTGATTGCATTTATAACACTTTCTTAAAACATCATCAGTACCAGTGTTTCTGGGGTGAACCTCCCTACCCTTTGCATCGTCCCGCTTAATGAAGGGCTGCAGATACATACCTGATGCTGGCTGTTCTTACACTTCCAAATAATGACAGTTCATCTGCACTGCAGTCAGTATTCAGAAAGTCAAAACTTTCCAGCACTGTCTCCACCATTAAACTTTCCATAGATGAATGTTTGTGAGCAAGTGTCTTGAGCTGTTTTTAGAAAGGAGGGAAACTATTATTATTTATGGATAAAGTCATAAAAAAAATAATAAAGTATCTATCTGCTCATCATGTCATTAAAAATGACACCTCATACAGGGGCTCTGACATACAGTCCAGATCCTGCTTACCTGGACTGCTTCCCCCTCTGACCAGAGGCAGCTTTTCGGCTTTTCCTCCCCACGGACCCACACACAGTGTCTCGAGCTGCCCCAAGCGGTGCTCTGCACCTTGTGCTGCTGCGGAGCTGCTGTAGGGGCTGCTCCTGTGAGCAGGGCCTGACCCCTGGTGGCCACACTGGCTTTTGAGGGACATGACACTGAGGCATCTGATGTCAAATCTTGTGGTCATGAAACTCAGGGTTATGAAATTTTTATAACTCTAAGGAGCAGCAGTGCAAACTACACCATCTCTCAAGAGTAAAATGCTACCATACCTTTAATTTATCCCTCATAGACAACACCTGGTATTCCAATTTCTCCAGTTGAGCTTGCCTCATATCCCAGAATTTCAGCAAATTTAATACTTCTTGGAGAGTCTTATCGATTGACTTGGCACATCCATCTACTTTTAGGTCATTTTCAGCATTCAGGCTTCTCTGGCTGACATTTTCTTGCTCTGTCAAACAATGATTTCTGGTCTGGCTGACAGAATCTCTACTGTCTTTGCCACGAATCACAAAGCTAGAAGGGGTATTTGGAAATCCATCTACACAGGGAGTCTTCTTCAGTATATCTAGAGTCGTGTGATTTGGAAGAGGACGCTGTCGTTCTTCTGCACTGGTCTCCTGAATAATTACCAAGGGCAACGTCCTGCGGCCGAGGGCTGGAGTCGTGTTCCTGGATTCTGTCCCCTTCTGATCCTCCGAGCTGAGCGAGTCCACCTCGCTTGTCCCCGCGGTGCTGGGACCTTTGCTCCTCGGCTGCCCACCAAAGTCGCAGGCAGCCAGGTAGCTCAGGATACTGGGAGGCTGGCCTTCCTCTCTGACATCTCCTTCATTGTGGCGCTGGTGCAAAGCAGACTGCAGCAAACAGAGTCAGAAGTGAGCACACATGTGACTGACAAGCACGAGATACCACCAAAGATAGACAACCATCGTTTCCTGTTCTTCCAGCACACCCAGACACCCAGTCCTCAGGTCTGTGCATTACATTTTGTTTTCCTCATACTCACCAGGTAATATTTCTCTCTGAAGCTGGGAGTATTTGGTGGGGTCCAGTTGTATAAAGAGCTTTTCCTGCTACCCACAGAAAACTTGGCAGTGGTTCCAGGTGACAAAAACAGGTTGTCTGTGTCAAAGGGGCTGCAGCAGGAGACACAAAGGCCTAAGTGTTAGTAAGACCAGAAAGCACAGAGATGTTTAGCAACAGCTGCTAGGATTTGAATTGTGAAATTTGGTAAACATTTAGACATTTGGAGGGAACAAAAAGAGAAACYGCCTTTCTGACCAATTTCCTTGAATTCATCAGCAGAGAAAGAGGTAGACAAAAAGCTCATGTATTTCACACGGAGTTAGTTCTCCACACCCCTGGGACAGGGACCTGTGCCACCACCTCTAGCAGATGACTCCAGCAGGCTGGGGGCCTGCGAGGAGCTCTCTGTTCTGCAGTGCCCTGCTCAGGTACCAATTCTGGCAAGCACGACACAGGCTGCTTGGTTACAGCCACTATTTCAGCTAGGAAGGAGATATAAAACATGCAATAAAGGAAAATGGTGATTAATTTCCCCCTTAATAAGCACACACCACCTGGAAAAACCTCTATAAACCTTGTTAATCCTGCAAATATTTTTCAGTAACTGCTTTGGTTGGCAGAGGGACCTTRTATAGTGGTACGTGGCTCATGATGTGTTTCATTCAGTCATGGAGGAGGCCACAATTCCGGCCCCAAGGACACTGGCTCTGCTCTTAGAGACGCTGACAAGCCCCATTCCAAAGGCTTCCCAATCCCCTAGCACATCACAGCCCTTCCCTTCCCAACTCCTTTGCAACCTGAAGAGATTTGGGTGAACTTGCTCTAGAAATGCACCTCAGAAGAGGGAGAAGAGCAAGGTTCTCCACTGCTTTTGTTCCCTACTGATTATGACTTTTGGTGCCAAAGGAAAGTTTATTTTTACAGTTAAGTACTGACATTTTTAGAGTAAAAAAAAAAGCAGTAACTGGTTAGAGCAAATCAGTAACCTCCTTGGTATCAATATAAATATAAATAAAATGACCAGACAGTAGTACGAGGTCAACTGCATTTAGCTGTAACAAGGAACCACCAGGAGGTCTGAAAGCCAAGCGATAACAAGGACTAATTGGTTACACAGAAATGAATGTTTGCTCTTGAGCAAAAGCAGAGCTCTGCTTCTCCGTCCCCTTTGCTGCCGGGCGCAGAGCAGCTCCCTGCAGTGGATCCCGCGCCACCATCATCCTCATCACAAAGGTAGCGCTCTGTGAACTTGCCCAGCACAGGTTAATTGGCATAATTAACCAGTGTCACCCAGCTGGGGCTCCTCAAACAGGCCAGTTCCACACAGCCACACTAACAACCATCTGCGTTGTCTCACTGTGCAGAAAATAAATGCAGTTTCTGACARTAAGAGCCTTTAACCGAAGCCTGCAATGTTTACTGATGAAAGCAAATTACTTCCATGCGTAGTGTTTCTTAGGAAGAGGTCCATTCCTGGGATCCATTCCAAGCCAAATCCCTCCTGCCCCTACTACAGCTCCTGGACTCCTGCAGCCAGGCTGGCTCYTGCGCCCGCGCCGGCCCCGCGGGGCGGGAAGGGAGCAGAGAGGGGAGAGGAAGGCGAAAGGACCCATGAAGCACGAGGACCACTCCAAGGGCTCCGTCATTTCTCGTCTGCCAGCTCCCTCAGCACAATCTGTCTGTGCTGGGACAGATCTAAGGGGCTCCCAGCAGCTTGACATTGCCAGAGGCTGGCAGGAGGTCTCAGGGGAAAAACATTGGAAATATGTTGAATAAAGAAGGTCTTCCCCAGAGGTATACTCAAACTTCAGGCAATYTGCAGCTTACATCTGCCAGGCATCCATCCCCTCAGGCAGACCGGTCACCAAGAACCTCATCTTTTCTTAGTTCATCTAGTCACAACTGGAGCTCCAAGAGCCCCAACTTTGAATTATTCAACTTTGAATTACGGAACAAGAACTTTCATTGGGGAGGGAGCCTTGATGGTGCTGACAGAACCAGTGAATAATCACTCCCTGGTTGTCTCAACGAACAATTCAACCTTACTGCATTTCCCAGACTGAAAACTTCTGTTTAGTTCCTTCTTGCAACAAAAGTGTCACCACACCTTTGATCATCTGTGTTGCTCTTCTATCCCCATTCTATTTCTGCATTGTCAAACACATTTTGCTCCTTAGTTATGGCTGCTTACAACATTGGCATTAAGTRCCCAACTCTGCGGTACCATCATTTACAGGCCAATGTTAATGCCGTGTACGACACCCCTTTAGCTAAGGGAAATTACCATCCCTGCAGCATTCACATACCCAGTGTAATCCTGAAGACATTTCTGCCCAATCTGAGATGCCCCAGCCTTGCTGGTGCTGAGCTGAAACCACCAGCCAGCGCAGGGCTGAAATTCTTGAGATTTCTCCATTTTCCCACATGCCTACAAACCAGAGACACCTTCTGCTTTATGTCCCCAGAAAGACACACGTAGCCAGGCAGAACGTTCAAGCCCTAGACTCAATCCTTTCTTCAGCCCCAGAGAATCTGAATTTCCTTGCTACAATCAAGACAGTGCCCTAATCATTTCTCTCCTATCCAGTCATTACCTACATCCYACAGAGACTGGAGGGCTCTTGATGAAGGGGACTTGTTCCCCTTCCAGGCTCCCATTAACACAAAAAATTCTGCCCAGCTGGATGAGACTCACAGTTATTACCAATCATGAGATCTCTCTTTTCCCTATTGAACACAGGTGAAAACACCTAGGCAAATTTAACAGGATGATCATTATTTGTCTTTTGCTATTCATTAGAGCAATACAACCACAAATTTGAAGGTTAGCACAGCTTGTTATAGGACTCAGCTATTACAGCACTCCCCAAAAAGCACAGAAATACTTTGCTGGGCCACTTCCTAAAGACACTTTATAAGCAGCCATCTTTTCAGACACAATTTTGTTTAGAAAAGCAAGGCTTTTAGAGGAACGTATCAAAGAAGCAGGGTTTTATTGTGATTAGTGTGATTGCAGGAGGTTTGTTTCCCTTCTCCTCCACCCAGCCCTGCGAGCCAGGCCAGCACACGTGTGCCCGGGGGGGAGGCTCCCGCAGAGCCCTCGCTGGACGGGGCGCCCGGATCCCCGCCTCACGTCTTCCAAAAAGGCTCCAGACTCTCGCTTTGTTCTTCATACAAGAGACACAGACCTCAGACTGCTGTTTAGGTTGGCCCCAAACCCAAAGCCTTCTGCCAGCRTAGCCTGCAAAGCAATTAGACAGCAGGCCCAAGCTCATTCGCGCTACTCATGACGCAGTCTATAAGGAGGAGAAGGAACTTTTATTAGAGCCCAGCAGACTAGTACCCTAGTTAAAGAAAATATACATTTAGAAGTGGAAGAATGATCTACACTTGGATCTCTAACAGAGCGGATTTAGTGTGGAAGTTTGCCTCTGAGGAAGGGTTGGGTGTAGCAGCTGGATCTGTTTAGCTATTCTTAATTCAAAAGAAAAAGCAGCTGTTATTTTCAGTGTTCTATCTTTTAAAATAGAAACCCCGAGTTATCACCGTGCAAATACTCTTTCCTCTAARCAACTTCAGCAAAGAGGCTGTCAAAGAGAAGGAATCTGCCAGTTCTGTGCAGAAGTGCTCCGGAGAAGCCACTTGCTGAGACACCAGTGCATTTCACAAAACTTTAGTGCAGCAAAGACACATGGCTGGAACGTCCATGTGGGGATTAAATCCCAAAGAAAGTGCTAACTCTTCTCCCAGCTCAGAAAGCTGGATGAGGGTTGTCCCAATCAAAAACTGCAGTCTAGGCCATAAGCTACATTACTAATCAAGTGATAATGTAATTTACATAATATATTTCTAAAAGAGTATTTAGTCACAAAAGCTACTTGCTTTGGSGAGATTCAGGTTCTTAGTTGAGTAACGATGCAACATCCCAGAACAAGAAGGCATTTCCTTGTCTAGCCCTTCTGTTAAAAGGGCTTTCACACACATGAATTCATAAATTTATTGACAGGGCAAGGCAAGCAAGCAGAAAGCAGATCAAGCAAAAATAAATATGAAGAGAGACCATCTGTTAGAGAGCATTGGTGTGTTAGCAAGAAGAATTTAGAAACAATTCCTTCCAAACTCCACCATGAATGAGCCCCTCCTCAGCACAGCACTTCCTAGATTAGGGCATAAATGGATTTTATACCTAGCTCAAWAAAGAAGATGTTTCCTTTGCTGGGCAAGAGTAGCTTCTTCAGATGTTAGACTTGAATTAACAACAGAAAAAGTAAAGAGGTCCCCTATGGGAAACACACCTCTGCAAACAGCATTCACAGCTTAGTCCCTTCTRCCCTGACAGTGTGTCTGGAGCTTTTGATCATGTCACATCCACARTAAAGGCAAGGGAAATTCAGGTGGTTTCTGAGGGGTAGTGAGAAGCAAATGACATAGAAATACATATGCTAAAATAACAAAATATTATAGTTGGCCTTGCTTCAGAAAAGAACTTTCATTTCAACAGCTACGTCTATACTGAAATTCAACCAAAATAGTGCAACAGCCCTGTCTCACCTACTTAGTAGAGCTATTGATAAGAAGGTCTCTGCTTTTAGATTCAAAGGGCAACACAGGGATATCTAGGCCTGAGGAAGAGAGTTTCACAGGGTAGATGTGCAAGATCACAGCACAGAACCACAGCGGTCGATGCTTCTGGAAGGAAGCTTCATTAGCCAACTAATTATCAGTGCAGATCCTCAACACTGGGGCCTCTCACGCCCCGAGCAGCTGCACCTCACCAAAACATGTACTGGTGCCCAACGCTCCATCTCGGGAGGAAAGACAGTGGCATAAACAGCAGGTGCAGGCAGAACTCCTCCGCGCGAGGTCATTTGTCACTGCCTTACAGCCACGTGTGTGTTTGAAAATAAATTTGCCAAAGGTGATGCTTTAGCCCAAGCACATTCCCAGTTAAACAGAATGGATTTGCAAGGACTGCAGCCTATGCACAGATACAAAAAAAAAAAAGTATGTTGATCAAGAAAGGTTCCCCCCCCCTCCCCTTTTCCTCCATTTTCCTCCTCTCACAGAAAAGACCTGATACTCYTGAGCAGGACTTGAATCTGAATTTCAACAGAAAACCTTTAAAGGGCATTTCTCCTGTTAGTCATCAAGATGACTGYGACAAGGCTTGGGTCAAATGATGCTTCCAAATGTTCTTAAAAGTAGAAACAGACCTGAAAGTCAAGTGTGATCCTAAGATACATCTGGTTACTTTATCCCAAGGGCAGAGAAGCTTTTCTCTTCTGAAAGACCTACTTGGCTCTCAGACATTTGGCAGGCTGCACACTGAAAATACATGCATTTTTTTATTTATTTATTTTTAGATAAYTTTAACAAAACAAAAAACCAACATGGCTAGAGGAGAAGAATTGCATAAGGCTGAGTCATGGCTAAGTCYGGTCTGCAAACTCCCTGCCCTTCCTAATCTAAACATTGTTCCTGTTCCCCTTTTCCCAGAGGGAGAGACTAGATCTACAAGTGTGGTCACACACAGAGCAGTCTCCCCTGTGACTGGGCATGTTCAAAGGCCTCTTTCACATCAGCTGGTAAGAACCAAGTACTACAATAAGCCATAAATATAAGTGAAGCAAGCCTACTGTTGTACTGGGCACTTTACCAAGATGACTAGATTTAATTCCTGGGCAGTATTAAATGGAAGTAGGTTAACTGGAAACAGGTTACCAAGTTTTCATTTGTTGCAGACAAGACTCTCGGTAGGAACGGACAGTCCCAAGCACCGAGCTGCTGTCTTGGCTTCCAAAGAAAGTGGCGTTTCTTTCCCAGGACCAGTCAGATACGTTTGCCAACTTACATACCCGCTTTCCAGGAAGAAGGGGCAAACCAAAACAAACAAGCACCATGCCCAAGAGTTAGCCAACCATCACATCATTTTCCTTGCTTCTTCTGAGATCCTCAGGAAAGCAGGTCACTCATTTGCAAAAGAATTTAAGTGCAAGAAGTTATTACACGATGTGCAGACATCAGAGCTACAAATTATAATACACTAGACAGTGCTGTTGGGAAAGGACTACATCAGGCTCATCAGGCACCCACGTAGACAGGGCCAGTCTAACCAAGTAGAGAAGATGGAGCCTAGGAGGCTGCAGTGCTACACCCGAACCAGGAGATACAGCACTGCATTAAAAAGCACAGTTTGTCTAAAGTGAGCAAAGAGTTCCAGTGCAGCATCCACACAAGTGAGCATTTGACTTTAATAACATCATTAATTCACTACAAAAATAAGTCAATTTACAAATTTAACGTATAAAAGAATTTTTCAAGTCACATGCACCATGTAAAACAACTATTTTTGCCTGTAAGTGAGCTTCCTCGTAGTGCACAAACAGACCTCTCACAGCTGTGATCATAGTGTAAAGTGTAAATACAAGTCTCTGAGGAAGCTTTTTTTTTTCTCCCCCCCCCGTCCTGTGTGGGTTTCTTTTTCTTCTTCAAGAACTGTGATCTAGTAACAGCAATTGCTTTAATTTTCAATCATATTTTTATTGTGCCTAAAAGCTGTTATTTCCAGCTCCATTTCATCACCTTTAGGTTTTATTATTCATATTTCACAGAGGTAAATACACCGCTTAAAACTTGAGCTGAATGCTCACCCTGACAAAGCAATAAGCTAAGTGAGAGCTCAGTGCAGACAGCCATGGCTTCAGAAACATCAGTGCAAGGAACTGGAGGGTCACAAGTTAGGGACTATCTTCCCCCCAGGACTGAGATCAGGCAAAGCAGCTGTGGGAGAGCACRTGGCTCTATCTAGCCAGCACCTGCTCTGCAAACAGAAAGGAGGACTGCAGTGTTGAATGCTGCTGAGTGACACATTAAGGAGTCTTTAACTTATTTCAAAATTAGCTCCAGCTTTTTAATTTGAAGCTGTACTTACTTCCAGAGAACCTCCAGTTGTAGCTTGATGGTGCCCAGCTCAGTTATATCCACAATGATTGCCTGAGGTTTTGTTGTAAAGAAGTTTATGCTGTCACATGTCACCACACCAACCAGAATAGTGGCTAGTCCTCGCAGTTCTGTTACCTGCRGGAATAAGGAAACCCATTTTCATCAGGCCACATAGAAAAGATTTGAGCCCTTGACCTCAAATCTGTTCTGTCACCCACAACAAATCTGAAATTTGGTTACTCAAGTCTGGTCTCATGAACTGCTGTGAGCCAATATTCCCACAAGGGCCAGGTCATGGACTGCCTGAACGGAGTGGGCAACAGATAGAGCTGTGTAACACTTCTGACAACAGAACCTGATCAGTTATAACTGAAGAGGTAAGTTCTTGTCTAGATTTTTGACAATTCTGGTTTGGCATACACAAATAATTGTCTTTGTGTGTGTGTGTGTGTGTGTGTGTGTGTCTGCTACATGTGTTACAATACTGAAATAAGCCTGTCTTCCAAAAAAAAAAAAATATATATATATACACATAATACCAACATCCATCTACCAGTGCTAGACTAATTCAGCTCCCACTTGCCTGAGGAGTCAGGGAGCTCATCTGTCGGTACCTACTATGACCTTTTTTAACTATCATAAGCTCAGCAGACAAAAAATGAATTAAAAAAACCCTCAGAATTTACAAGTGTAAATCCTTCCTTTAAGTACACAGGCCAGAGGCTCCAGATTTATTATCAATAGCACAGGCCTGCTTTTTTTCCAGTCTGGCACCTTGCTGCATCTGCTACTTCAAAAACCTAATAAAACATTTGCTAATAAATATTTGCTATAAAAACAGACTATTAACTGAACATCAAATTGTCCTGCTACATCTGAAACAAGAGCGTAAAGCAGCATCAGACTCGGCACAGAATTTCCGCACAAGTGCCAGAAATCTACTTCAGGAATTACTTAACTRCCTAGATTTCCACTGGCTCTTAGTGGACATGATGTTGCTAGGCTCCTCTTGGAAAACTCTCGTTTGCACCTTTTCCTTTTTAACCTCCTAAGTATTTGCACTGGGTAGAGATTATGAAGTACAAGGTGGAAAACGGACGTGCAGAATCTTAGTGAATGGTCTTCCAAGCTGAGAGAAAGACGCTGTATTAGCTCTCCCTAAACTTTAAATGATTCCTCATCACATAAAGGAATATAAGTTTTTACAATTATTGTGGGAAAACAGGCACATGAATTAGTCTCTCACTCCATTTTTATTGTGTAGTGGTGGCAAAAATGTGTTATAAGCACATTTCTAAAGGCTGTGCTGGCAAAACGTCAAGAAGTCTATCCTGTGTAACCCCGTTGTTGCTTCCAGAGAGGAGGCTTTGCAGAGCGGCCCGGCTCCCTCCTGGCTTCGCTGGAGCCACGGCTAAGAGCCTGGCCCATAAGAGATAYACATTTATGTGTGGAAATCAGAAGCATTAAAATGCTTTGCAGTAYGAGGAGCACTAAAAATGACAGACAAACGCTCAATAAGCATAACTGATTAACTGCCATTTTTAAGTGAGTATAAAACAAGCAAACAGAAAAACCCACAGGAAAAACACCACACTGCTTAAGAATTTTGGGAAGTGCATGGCAGGCTATCAGGTGAKCAATGTGACAGATAACCCATTAACCCACTGATTCCAGCCCAACCATCATACACCACACCTTGATTTCAAACTTCTCATGCAGATTGGGTATAAAAATCTTTTCTTCCTCATCCCATGTTTGGCTGTCATCTGTCTCAATCTTGCCTTTCAGCTTCCATTTTTGGCGTCCCAGGCGCACAAACACCTGGAAAACATGGAGAGAAGAAGAGAGGCACTATATCAGCATCCCAAAACATGAGAATCTCTTGGGCCAACACGTTTCACTGTTCTGATACTGCAGAGGCAAAGCATTTTCTTTGATCATTATCTGTGTAGGAACTTGGATAAAAGCAGGACATGAGAGGCCTAAGTTACCTGTGAGCTTTAATGCCTTAATCAAGCACTCCCATYGATTCTAGAAGAGCTTGCAAAACTGAATCAAATACTCAGTGCAGCAATGCTTAAAATACAAGGCATAGGAATTAATTTGGAGGTGCTGGAAGTAGGAAGCTAACCCAGTCACACCTACTCACATGCATCCAAYGTCCAGAGCAAGATGCTGAGAGAGGCAGCAAAAATGTTGCCTGATGGTAGGGCAGCTTTGAATACCTAACCACCTGCCACGTTGGCTTCAACAGGCAATCACTGCCACCTTTAAAGCTCTTCATTATGTCTTTCCTTCTTCCATCTCAGAAGCCAGAGTAACTAAAGGAAGGTGCTAGAGCACCATCCTCATCAGCACAGCACATGGTTTTGTTATACTCCCATTTCCTGCTCCCCTTCTGCACATTGCACCCTTGTTCCGTGAATCCTACACAGTTTTAAAAGCAGTAAAACAAAAATAAATGAATTGCTGGATACTGCACCTCATATTGGTCCCCCGGGCAGAGACGTGCAAAGCCAACCAGTCCTGAAAGGAGAAGCAAACTCCTAATATTTGTGGAATTTCACAGTGTCCCCCCAAAGCCTCTGCTTGCAATAAATGAAGTATCTGGCTAACACTCCTTGCAGACAGCTCCACGTGGAAGTTACATTGCAACCCAAAACAATTCTACAAGGACAACATTTACTTGAGCCAAGGGGAAAAACCATGCCAGTTTTTGTTCTCAAATGCAAAATATCATTGCAGATAATGTTTTACAATGCTGAAGAAAACAAAAGTTTGCCAAGTTTCTGTTTGGAATCTGATCCAGAAACTCAGTGGAAGCAACTAACAGTGACTGCAGGTTTTCTATGAAAAAAAAAAATAAAATAAATCTCTCATCCATTCAGTGGCTATTTATTCTGTTGATAAGTTCTGAAGGAATTGAGAAAGGAACATACCTTTCATCTTCAAGTGAAACTCTCCCAAATGGACCTCCAGTGCCCCTTCTATAAAGCACATATCCTAGAAAGAAGGCAACAGTCACTGTGATTGAAAAGCAACATAAAATAACTACTCTTGCTGTAYGTGCCATTTTCTTATCTCACCTCTAAGGGATTTGAGCTAGATTTTATCATTTTTAAAAGGACACACTAACATCCTCACTAGTAGAGGCCAATGCAGTCTATTAAAATTACTTTTCAGACAGAAAACTGAAGGAGCTCTACAAATGAGATGTACTGCTTCAGCAAATCATCCTCAAGTACCTTTCACAGCTTGTTTGATAACAATAGCACAGCACATGAATTATGCATTCAATTCTGCTCCTCCACTYCCATTACTTCCCTGAAAAATTACATTGGGCTCCATATTAAAGCAGAAATCTAGGTTATTCCACTCATTTCATGAATGCATGACAATGCCAATTTGAGTAGTAAGCAAACTACGCTGCTGAAAAGTTAAGGCAGATATTTCAAGAGTTCCACACATTAGGTACATACCTCCCAAGCTTTAGTTAGCATCACGTACCTGTATTTTTTTTCTAACCCTGTAGCATTTCAATAATAAATAAAAGCCATTAGAAAGCCTTGGCATATTTTTGGCTAGGAACAGAATAATCAGCTCCTTGCTGGATGTGTGCAGCATTTCCTACCTCTGTGCACCCTTGGAAGTTCTTATAAAGCTCCACTAGGCTCTCTCTGGAGGCTTTGGTGGAAGGAGACAAGGAAAAGGCTTGCTTCATGTTAGCAGCCCCATCTCGCAGCCTGCACTGGATACAATAAGCTTCATACAGCTCTTCTACCTTTAAGATTGGAAAGGAAGGGAATGCAGGGAAGGGAAAGAGAAGAAACAACAAAATGATTTTTAAAAGTTTTGGCAAGGAACATCAACCCAGTCTTCTGTGGCAAAAGGAAACAAAACCCCATTATCAGAGCAGTGCACCAAGCAGCAACTCCTGCACTTTACAGACCGAATACAAAGTGCACTGTTTATGTTTAGACATTCCTGCAAATATGGAGGGAATATCGATAAACTCATTATGCTCCTATTATCAGGACAGGAGACAGGGAGTACAAGAAATACTTTGTCTATGGCAAACATTACTTGGGGAGCAGGAAACTGATCCCTTCAGTACAGGTGAACTTTAAGTGTTTTTAATCGATGTTAGAGATTTCAGTCCTTTGGAATCAAACAGTAGACATGCAGTTTACAGAACTGCCTATCTAGGCTCCTTGTAGGGGAAGGGGAGAGGATAAGAAAGTCTCCCACATCAGCATTTTCCTGAATAAACTGGCAGAATACGCAAACTGGTTTAAGAGACAGGCTCAGATTGGGTTATGCCCAACATTTAACCTGAATAGAACTATCCAAGAAAAGCAAACAAACAAACAAACCATCCTTCTGTAATCAAGTTCTTACAGCTTTCAGAAATTATCCAGCATTATTCCTTTTCAAAGAAGCTAAGATGGAAGAGGTGTTTTTTTTTTTTTTTTTTTTAATTCAAAGAGCGCTTTTTTTAATTCAAAGAGCAGCATAAGCCTTACAAATATAAAGCAGAAGTTCCCTTACCTTGCTTATGTGAAACTCCAGTTTTCTGATGTATCTCTCCACAGAGCGAATTTGCTTTTAAGAAGAGGAGAGGCACTTGAGAAGCTGTTCCAATATACATTGTTGTTCAAATATAATAAGATATCTTTATGCAACAGAGTGATCATCACTCCAATTTTTCTCTTTTTGCTATATCACAAGTCTTACCTTATCCAGGTCATAATAGAAGGCCTGAAAAAGAAATACAATCAACTGAATAGGAGAGCATGTATATTTGAATATATTAAGATACCTTCATAATTACTGAAATACTCACTATGCAAATCTTTATTTAATTGCAGTAAATTAAGAGTCACCGTTCACTACAAGACATATCTATTTTATTTATTAGTATTCTCATCTTTTGCAAGCAGTTTGTTTTTGTACTCAGGTTCCTGACACAAGATAATGACATCATCAGCTGTAGCAAGGACCTGCACGTTGGTCATGGCATATGGGAGTTTACCTTTTTAAAATCTAGCTATGAAAGAAGACCTTATGYCCCTAACAAAAGGCAGAGATGGGTCTTTGAGTTGTCTTTTCATTAACACTGATGCTGATGGTTCTTCTAGTGATTTGAGAACATGGCAGAATCTAAATTGCTAGGTCACATCTACCACACAAAGTCTGACTTCTGTGTCTATTGCAATCTAGGGGCAGGCACAAACACTCACCACTGAATTGGCACCAGCACAATAAGGAAAATGATCTAAAACAACCCACACAGCTGGATGTTGGAAATCCAAGTGCAGTTTTCATATCTAGAGATAATGATACACTATGTGTCAGTACCAAGAACTACCACACTTGCTTGGTAAACCTCAAGTTGCACTGTTGTACTTCACTGCGATGCTAGAGCTGGAAAACCCTGGGTGGCCCAGAAGTGAGATACACCATCAATTTTTATGTCAGCATTCTTAAAGTCATTACAGGGATTAACATCAGAAATATTCTTACCAGTCTGGAATTCCTCTTTGTATCTTTGTGACAACCAGAGAGATAATCCAACTCAGCCTGATGTGCTTCCAAGTATTCACTGGAGAGAGAAGAAAAAAAGGGGGAAAAAAAATAAGGAAAGGAAAGAAAACCCTGAAGTGTTATAGTCCACTTGTATGTTCATTATAACGTCTCACACAGAATTTTCAGTAGAATGCTGCCAAGACACTTGTTTCTCTTGTTTTGGTCTCTGGAGATTGTGAATGGCCATATAGACCATCAGGGGAGGAGAAAGTGGGGAGTCTGGACAAACATCCTAAGTGCAGAGCCASTCATTAAAAGCAGAACACAGATGTGACAGATGCTAAGGAGCAGCATCTTTGCTTGTTTCCCTTTTATCTAAAAATGATCATTCAAATTAAGATAGATTTTATTCTAGGGATGTGAGGCAAAACACARCTCGAGACACAAAACAGAGTTGCAATTACGAACAAAGGCAAGAGGAAAGAAAGGATGTAGYAGGGGAAAAGCAGGTTCTACACACGCAACCCAGCTAACGTAACTCTTCTTCCAGATTAGTCACTCCTGTTTGGCCTTCTAGAGTCTTTTCTACAAGGCTGAGGACCAGCTCACTTGCTGCTTACAGTTACTGAGGAGTGCTCATCACCAAAACCCAGCTCATGATGCCAAAGAATTACAACAAGAAAATCTGGCATCGCAAAACCAAGCTCGTGGAAGTACTCTGCACGTGAGGTAACCCAGACAGTATTTTTAGCAGACACAGCTGAACACCACCTTGGCTGGTCTAGACAGTTTCTTGATATAAGTGTCAGACAGAAACTATTCTGCAGAATAGAACAGAAGAGACAATATAGACAGAAACTATTTTGCAAATTGCATAGCAGTTGGTGCTGGTTGGCTTCTGCAGAGTAGCTTGCATGGCAGTGCAGTCCCTTAGGAGCTGCCAGAGTGTTAAGCTGTTTCTGCTGAGAATCTTTTCCTAACTTTGCATTTAGTGCAGAGAGAAACACGGTCACTTAGCAAATGCTGTATAAGGAACATGGGATCTGAAGAGTCAAAATATCTGAGTTTACGCAGACAGCTGCACTTCTCATGTGCTTTGGTGCGTTTCATTTTCTCACTGCTGCAAGCCCAGCTCCCTCAAGGCGCTCCCCAGCTCCAGCCCTCAGCTGCCTGCTCTTTACAAGTGCCAGTTAACAGCTCAGTGCAGGAGCAGCCAAAGCTGGTGACAGGGAAGGGGTTGCTTTTCTTTTAAAAAGAACTTCACCATTTTTATATTTAAGCACATTAGAGCTGCTAATTAGAGCTCAGCTAGAGCCGAGTGGTACCCAGAGGGTTAACAGAATTTGGAGTCCAAATTTGGACTTTGCATCGCTATTTGATACAGTTGTTTTCTGTAGGTTACTTTAGTCAGTTAGCTACTCAGTTCTGGCAGAAGCATGATTATATGGCACTCTTTTCACAACTGGGAACAAATTCTGATCCATTTTATGGTTTCTCCTCCCTAATCCCTGATAAATTCTAAACTCTGGAAAAAAAAAATCTTTATTTGTTTTAAATCTAGTTCCATTAATAAGACACTGATTCACATTTTTAAGGCTAGGACTTCACAGTCTTTCATTGACAGCTGAGTTTGCAACAAATGATTGCATTTTTGTATGTATTCTTAGTTTAAAAAACGTACAATTTAACACAGTAAAAATTCTGGGGATGGCAGCAACACACATGCAGAACAACTAGTGGGACACCATCAGAAAAAGCCATAAGAATTATTACTCCAAGGGACACTATTTAGTCTTCTTACAGTAGCCTCAAGGTATAAATAAAGGTCCTACAATCCTAGCCCAGACCCATCAACACCAACTGCAATGATTAAGATATGCATATTTTAAAACATAAAAATATTTATATACTAATATATAATAATGATAAAGCAAGCTCAGCTTTAAAATTCAGACAAGTTCAGATAGTGAAGAGAAGTTACAGAGAACAACAGGGTACAGAAACTTAAGCACCATGACTAGGTGAGACAATTGCAATATTTTAAAAGTCCTTACTTAAGTCCTTTCTTCAAAGCTTCAAAAATTTTCTTCACCTGAAGTGGTTTTGGATCCCAGATGACTTCCCCCTTCTGCAGAGAAGAATAAGCCTTGGGGGATCTCAGTGACATTCTCGATCTCACCGAACTTCTGCCGAGAGACTTTCTGTACAAAGGAAAAAACAAATAAGGTGAAGATGTAAAACCTAGGAGAAAATGTCTAAGCCACAGAGCTTCCAGGCTACAAGTTATGGCTAACCCCAATGGAGTTACTCAMTGCAGCAAAATTATTTAAAACAGCGAGAACACTTTCACAGATAACATTAGATAGACAAGGCCCAGCTTTAGATATCCAGGCAGAAAAGACACAAGTTTTTACAACTCCATCAGAAATGAAAAATGGCTTCTAAACTATAGTTCATCCAGAAGAAGATGCCAAAAATCTATCTTCTCAGCTTCAGATGGACACTGAAGAGCTTAGTGGGTCTCTTTTATCCTTCTTAAGGGATGTAAGCCCTTAAGCTCTATGTTTCTTTTGAGGTAGGGCACAGAACTACCTCAATTCTTTTTTAAACAGGTTCCTGTTCAGACTGCAGTTGTCTTGACGGGGACTAAGGACCTAACTCTGCAGCACCTTCACAGCAGCAGCTCCGCTCAAGCACAGCTAGGGGGGCAGGGATGTCCCCGTTCCTGCTCTCAGGGGAGATGCTGGAAACCAAGGCAACAAGCTTTTTATCTGCTCAAGGTCTAACAACCCTGAACTAGAGGTAGAATTAGATTTCAAAAGCTTCTGCTCTCCAGCTATCAGTAATTTCCAAACAGTGAATGGCCTAAAGCCTTAACACTTTAAGTACTAGTTGGGACACAACAATTAAATAGATTATAATGAACACAAACAACTAGTTTTAAAGCTTGGTCAAGAGACTATATATATTTTACACTATCATTCACTCTGGAAAAGCCCTCCTGAAAAGCCTTCAGAAGTACCTATTCAAATGCTCTCTTAAGACTCCTCACAAATTTTTAAAAAGACACCTCTTGAGCACAGACTGCATTTATTGGCTGTGTTTTTTCAGTGTTTAACATGACACTTACTTTCAAAAGTAACGACAAAAACTGCCTACAAAATTCTAATCTAAAGAATTATCAAACCTCTAGACAGTCATTAGCTATGACTCCACAGCATTCACACCAGAATACAAACACTGCAAACACTTCACACCCACACACTCCTTCAGGCTTACCTCTACTTTTGCACTCTTCTAAGACTTAATTATTTTTCTCTAGTTTTTGTTAATACTCCCCTGAAGCCAAGCCTCTAAGATAACACTAGGAAGCTTCCCATCCCACTAACCTGAGCCTTGCCCTCAAGAGAGGCATCCCGCCCCTTCCAGAAGCCTTGTCCTACATTCAGCTCACCTGAGAAAGTGAGGAGCTCCACCAGGCTTAATTATCCACTGGCTGCCTCAAGGTCAAGGCATGTGACCCCAGAGTAGGGAAATAAGTGAGTCTGGTCCTTAAATCATCATCCCAGGAAACCTGAGAGCTGTTCTCAGTCCTAGCCTAGGAAACCTTGAGTTTAAAATCCCATTTGCATACACTGCATAAAAATGTAGAGTGTCCAGTGCGGGCCTTTAAGGAGAATACCAAAAAGCTTGGTGTTAGGTAGCTATATTCCCTTGTGAGCTTAGTAATCTAAGTATCAGATTCCCATTTAATAGATGACAGTAATAATATTTATTTCCTGAGGAGACCATTGTGAGGCAAAATGAAATAGTGTGTCTCACTGAGAGCCTCAAAAGGAAGTTGCTGAAGAAATGCAAAAGTATATTTAGCGTCTGCTCGAGAATCTCCATGTGGACCTGATTTGTGTGTCATCTTTTGGAAAGACCTTGCATAGGGCCCCTGCAGTCTCCTGCTGTGTTTTGCAACAGTGCCCATGAGAGAAACTAGTTAGGAAAGTTCTGCACTGTGCTGGGGAAGGGGTGTTCACCAGGCTGTATCTGGTGCACATCATCCTTTCAAAGTGTTTTCCTGATGGGGCAGATTCCTTAATAAAACTCTCCTCTGTCTAAGCAGCTAATAACAAAAAGTAACATCAGSAAAAAAGGCACAAGGAGAGTCATGTGGTTAAAAAACCTTTGCAGTTAAAAGTAACACAACAATGTTAAGGGAAATATGAACTTTTCTATTTCAAGCGTTCTTACCCTGCTGGATGTGCCTTTGTTGGGAACAACAGCTGTTCAACACTTCTCCTGTAGCTCCTTTCCCTGCAAAAACTTCCACTATGTACTGCCAGATCAAGTCTGTTTATAGAATTTATTGCCTGTGTTTTTCTCAAGATCTTAGTGATACTTGTGATTTAAGATGTCTGACCCTTGCTAGGTGCAGTATTACTATTGTTCAGCTTCCACAATGAATCTAATTATTCAAATGCAAACACTTCTCAGTTGGGTCACTATTGCCTTAAATTTAATTCCTTCTCCCACTTTACCAGTCTTGTGGTTAGAGAAAAAGTTAATTCAAACACTTGGTTCTATGAAAATATGTTTTATGAGATGAGGTAGGCACTTATATACAATAGGATTTTTTTTTTTTTTTTGAAAATACAATTAGAGGCATATTTTTCAATACTTGTTGAATATGATGTTTCTAAATAATTCACTTTGTTATTATTCTGGCAGCACTGGCAGCCACAGATTATATATTAATTTTCTGTTTATAAATCATACCTCCTAAAAGCACTCCACAAACAATATAGGGATCACTAGATTCAGAAAAAAAAGAACAAAAGTGCTTCTCATGGAAAAGCTCCAGATTTATCAGTGTAAAGCAGGGCTATACAACAATTTATGATACGCAAAAATGAAAAAACAGTGCAGTATGGTTTAGCAATTATGGCAGTGGAGTGAAAACTGGAAGACTCTATTGCAACCTTGCCTGTACTCTTGACCTTACTGACAGTAGTGAATTCACAGTAGTTGTCTTTGTCTTCCCTCCCTGCTGCATTTGTAGCAGTGCCAAAAAGCAGTCCTTCCTCCAACATAATGTTGCTCTGCTTAAATAACGGCAGGAATTGAGTCGAGTTCAATTACATATTTTGCAAGAATAAAACTTCAGCATCTCAATTAGGAGATTTTTAACTAGCATAACTATTCAGAAGGTTTTTCCTTTTACCTGAAAGCTGGTCAGCAGCTGRCAGGCTGCAAGCAGGGCTGGCGACCTCAGCACCGAGCAGGGCAAGAATGTCTCCTAACACCCCAGACGCCAGCATCTCCTGCACCTCTATGAAAGGCAGAGCTCCTTCGAATTCTTACACTTAATCCATTTAAGCTGGTAATTTAGGAAAACCGGAAAATGGGAAGTTGTGGTATTATTTATCTGTATCATTTCCATTTAAGTATCAGACCTACTTCATACGCTAGAAGGAAAGTGATTTCTGTGTTTTTATCTGTTCCTGAGCTTGCAGAAACYCAGCAGAAAAGTGGGTGAAAATCACTAGAGCAAACAGAGTTTAGGTAGCCTCTCATATCAACACCTTTCATACCAACATTTTGCTGAAAGAAATGGATGCTATAATAAACACTTCGCTATAGATTTTGCTACATAACCTCTGAAACGCAGCCATCTCTGAAATACCATCTAGTAGCTGCTTCTCGGTGCACAATGACAATACCCCACACTTTAAGATAAGAAGAATGAATTTCTATGCATGGATACCTGAGGTCAGCAAATAGGTTCATGGTACCTCATATCTCTCGTTCAGAGGACCAGGAGCTTTTCAGTTCGTGCTACTTACGCTAGTTTTCTGCTTTGCATAGTGCTGAATCCTGTGAAGGAGCAACTCCTGCTGATACCGCCCCCGTCACCAGCAGAGACGAACGTGAGCTTGACCGACATGACTGCCAGTCAGGAGGTCTGCTGGCTTCTGGAATAAACAGAAAAACAGATGAATGAAACCCCCTCCTCGTAGTTTACACGTAGGCACTGCTGAGCTGCACAAAAGGGAATACTCAGAGCAACAGCATAGATTAACCAGAAAAAAATCCTTGTCTGCTAAACACGTTTCCTCTGTTGCCACCCACAACACAATTAATAAGGAATCGGACTATCCGAAACAAAATCTCTCATGCCCTCTGCAACAGCTGATTGATTTTGCAAACTTACTATGTAAAAGCCGGAATATCAGGTACTTACAGGCTCTCTGCATTTCTGATTTAAAAATAAAATAAAATAAAATAAAATAAAATAAAATAAAATAAAATAAAATAAAATAAAATAAAATAAAATAAAATAAAATGTAATTGTCCCACTGCTGAAAAAGGAGCTCAGGCCAACCCACGTATTTCCAAATCACTCTGATGCCAGAACAATACTTAAGCCCCAGACTTGGCCAGGTCCAAAGAGCAGTTCTTTACATCTGTGCACAGCCACATTGAAGTCAACAGCAGAATTAGGGCTTTGGCTGAGTRTGGTAGTTAAGCCCAAGGCAGAAGTCTGGTTTTAACAGTAAAATTCAGGTTCAGACTCCTCCTCTGGCAGAAGTTCTCTTGGATTGCTCTCTCCTGTTTTCCATCAGTCAAACTCTTTTGCTTTCTGGAGARCTATGTTCTCTGCCATATGTCTATAGAATCCAAGTTACAATATAAGTAACAGACATATCCCTCATAGCAGCTGTTGAAAATCACCCAGACAGTTAATATACAGAATAATTCCCTTCCTTCCCCCCACAGGCTGGCGTAACGTAAACACCACAACTAGCATCTTTGCTTTATTTTTTTTTAATGATGCCAAAATGAGGGCCAAATCCTAATTTACCTCTTAGCTCTTAATCCTCACTCACACAAAACTCCATTTGAAATTGCTGGAAAATTTTGACTAAATAAAACAAAAACAAACAGAAAAAAAAAAAAAAAGGAACATCTTTTTTTCTACAGAGAAGTATGTAGAGAGGCGGAAAGCTCCAGTAAGGAGGTCTGTATAGAGATACTCCATGAAAAAAATTGTCCTGTGTTACAGAAAATGTTCCAAGACATTAGGAGCTCTTATTAAACAATGTGGATACTGGAAAAAAACATCTGCACCCAATCCCTGTGCCTCCACATTATTCCAGCAGCATGGATGCAGTTATGCAGACTAGAAGCCCAGAAATGTCAGAGAAAGACTCTTTCCTGGCTCTGCCACTAGCTTGGAGAGTCACCCAACTCAGTCTTCTTCCAGAATGGATGTAGAGCATAGAGTGACTGATAGTTAAATCTACTTCCCAAGAGGGATGAGATTTTGAGCATATTTTGCAAGTTTTGGGCGTATTCTGMAAATTGTGGCAAGGTTTGCAAATTCACCTCCAGGTAGAGGGAATTACTGTGACCACGCTTTAGGTCCCATTATCTGCTATAGCAGTAACTGAAGTTTCCAAAGCAGAGACTCTGTTTAAGTGAGAAATGACTATGGGATATGAAACCTCTCCACTAGCTCCCTGAAGTCTTAGAGCTCCCATTTCTTTGTCTGCTCTACAAAGACTTTGCCAAGCTTATGAATATATCCATGAGAAATGGGCAAGAGGCATTAGAGTAAGATCTGACAATCATAAATCTGGGCCAGCTACCTGCTTTGCAAGCTACCTTGCTTGCTGTAGAGAAGACAAGTGTTGGATATAGCTACTTATTTGGTATCTCTGTGCATTAATTCCATAGGACTCCACAGTTTCAGTGGCATCAATAGAAAACCTGCTATATGSACAGATTTAGGTGCAACTCAGTCACCTTTTAACCAAACTGCACAGCAATTATGTTCTTGTGCTTTGAAAGGACATCTCTTGTACACCCCTAATCACACAGGGCACTTGCATCACATCACAGCTGAAGTTTTGTAATATTTTCCATTCTTTCCCTTAGTTTTCAGATGCTTAAAAGTCTGTGAACAGTCACCCCATCAAAAGGATCATTAGTCTGAGAAAAAAAAAAACAGGCAACCTACTGAAAAATGTCATTGCATAACATTTTGTTAAAGCAAGAAATAGGAGAAACAGCCTCATGGTTATTGACCACATCCCTCATCAAGGCAGAGTCAGATTCCCAGGATCTATTCTTTAGTTCCCTAACCTAAGAATCCTAATTCATGGGTAGAAGCGAGGGAAGAAATGCAGAAGAAAGCTTGCATAGTCTTATAGGACTCCTAATTCCAATGGAGCATGAGGCTGAAAGGCTTTGAAGCTTGTAGATACTACRCAAACAGAACCAGGGAGATCCCTGGCCAACAAATGTAAGTTAAGTTTAAACGTGCAGACACCCATGGCTCAGCTGGTGAAAAAACTAACTTGCTTAGCCCTGAGCCTATTGCCATGCATTTTAGTGTAAAATCAAATGCTATTCTGGACTCCAAAAAGAYAACACTGTCACAAATTAGTGTAAATGATTGATGTACTGGACCTCATTTATGTATAGCCATAAATATTTTTTTAAAATGCTAATGTTTTTGTTATTTTTTCCTTCTAGCTGCACAAAGGTTCAACCCTCAAGGCCACTGACTCTGTCATATCTACTTGCACCACATATAGCAACATTCAGCTACAACACACAAGCACATTTTTACCAATCCTACCAGTTTCCGTTCAAAACAAAAAAGAAAGAATGAAAGACTGCATCAGTAAAGCAGTTACCTATTTTACTTTGAAATTATGTTGATGAAGTTACACTACACACCTGCAATATATTTTTGGTAGTGACCTAGAAATCTTAGTACTCATTTCACACTTGGGACTAGACGGCCATAAGTAGGATGTCAAGACAGCATTTTATTGGTAAGAAAGATTTATAAATGCAGTTGTTTAAACAGAGGGTTTTGCTAGCCAGAGTGTCTGTATAAATGTGCTGAGCTACACTACAACTGCCCCTGAGTAAAAGCATCTGGACACATCTCAAACTGAGCTCTCCTTTTAGGCTAGAAATAAATAAGATATGGACTCCTGACAAAGCTGAGTTCAAATCCATTTTTGAATCTATTATCTCTGCTGGGCACATCAATGACTTCAAATCTCTTAAATACAGGGATTCATCCKTTGTGACCAGAGCCGTGCCCTTCCCAAAAAACACAGCACGTGAGCAGGGTAGCTCGCTTTGGGCTGGCACGTGTAGAACACAAATTATCAGGCCCAAGAGAAGATGCCTTCTGCCAAGGGCAATAAAGACACTGATCTGCTGGAGAAAAGGAGGAGGCTGGAAAAATAACATTTGAGGGTCTCCAGCCAGCCCTCCATACTGCCTAAATTTACTCTAAGATTTTAACATGTGCAATGTCGTAAAACTGAGATTTCAGGACCTAAATAATACATTTCAAAATAAATTGAAAGAGGTGTTTTATATTTAAAAAAAAAAGGAAAAAAAAAAGATTATATCTGTTGGTTCCTATCTTCAATGATTTTCAGTGCACTAATATGCTACAATCATTTAACCTTCAGTGTTCCCAAGCATCCTGGTGTACATCTACTCTTCTCTGCAGCAGTGAGTACATTCAAACCCCGTATTCTCTTTGCCTGTGTGAGTATCAGCCTATTCCTCAAGCCAAATGACCTTCATCCTTTACAAACAAAAAGCTGGTGTCTGTTTGTATTTACGGCTAAACTTTTCCATTCCTAGTCACATTCTTAATTGTTTCTAGGCACAATAGTTTCAACAATTTTATGAGGAAAACATGACTCACAGACTTCTTACAAAGTATTCCTGCTTGTGTTTAGTACTTTAAATTGGTAGCCTTCTTTTTCTTTTAAATACATCCTAGAGGTTTGCTTGAACTTGGTGAACTATTGCTAGAATAAGGTATTCGTGTTTTCTTAGAGTATTTTAAGGTTCCATTTGGGAGGAGCTGTTCATTAAAGGACAGACATTTGCTTCCCGTTGCATGTTTGCAAAACGGTACCAGATTTGCTAGAGTGAACTGTGGACAGAAGCATCAAATCCACAGCCTAGATAAGCAGTGAGTACATTAGCGTGGTCGCTCGTTAGGGTATCAGTACCCACTGCTCACCGGCTTCAGCAGCTGCATCATAACCAAAGTAAAAGCCAGGTGGAAACCAAGCAAAGTATTTTGCCACTATGTAAAACACTATATAAAATAATCCATATGATAGAACAGCAACTATTAAGTGTCAGTCTCTTAAGACAGTAAAGTGATTTCAGGATCACTTGGGGTATTCTGGGTAGAGCATGAGATCACAGCTGTTTCTGTTTAGCCACTCGCTGCTAACTTTCTCCTTTCATTTTTAGATTACTATTGTTATTTTTCAACTATAGCTTAATATAAAATTATAACTGGACACATTATGCTAGCTTTACTTGCAAGGATGACGGGGTCATTCTGCCTTCTAGCTGTGAAAAACAAACAATTGATTTTATTTTGCATTATCACAACCTAATCCAAATGCAGACAATGGTATTTGAGTCTTTCACAACACAGATAAAGAAAACAAATCAAATTGTCACAATGCATTACTATACTGTCAAAGTTTTAAACAAAGTCTTAGTGCTGGACAGGGCCCGAACCAGTAAAACTTTCTTGGTAATTTCAGTATCTTGGAATAGGCTGAAAGTTTCTAGATCTTGGCACTTAAACTGCAGCAGCCTTGGACATTTAGAGAATCCAGACACATTAAAGTTAATGAAACTCCTGAGATGTGAAAACAAAACAACTCAGACCTTATTACTCTAAAGGTGTATGTAATGAAGGTTGACTGAATAATGAATGAAATTATCTTGTGTACAGCACAGTGTTGAATCCACTGGGAAAGTACACACTATATTTAATCTTTGCTCTCAAGCATTCTTTAGGAAAACCATTGACCTCAGTGGCAATGTCTACTTTGCTAGATAAACATTCCAAATTTACGACTAAAATCCTTTAAATTT